TTATTATAATATGAAGCTAGTAATATTTTTTTTAATCTGTAACCAATAAGAATTGAATTTGATGACTTCAAAGAACAAAGTGAATGATTTTATAAACAATTATTTATTAGAGAATAGAGATGATTGAGCTGTAAAATAAGGAAGTCGGGGAGCTTTTTTCTGTACAGTACTATCCAAGAAGAACAATAATTAGCATAGAAAAGTGTGATTTGTCAAGGATATAAAAGAATAAATTTAAGTTTTCTTAATACAAAAATGTGTTGAAACATTTTGTAAAATTCTGTTTGTTCTCCTAATTAAAAAAATTAATAAAATTCGATTGTACTCCTACCGATATCAAAAAATTTCTAGTACAAATATCTATATATCTATGTGGGCTATTCTTGTTAAAATTCTTTAATGTTAATGTAAAAATCTTGCACTAACAATTAGAACCGATATGTTAACATTTACGAAAAATGTTGTCTAATATAATTGGTAGGTAGCCATCGCATAAAAATAAGTGCCTAACCCAATTCTGTCGAGTGAGTGAAGATATTGCCCTAGATTTGAATTTCAGAAAAGTTATCGACTTTCTTTATAGTTGTAATAATAGTAATAGTAGTAGTAGTAGTAGTAGTAGTAGTAGTGGTAGTAAACTTCTTAGGACGTTGAACTTCGAGTTTCACTGCCACGACCTTTCTACTTAATATTAGTTAGTACAATGCCCCAAGGAGATGGTCTACTGCTCTGTTTATTATTGTTTTCATCAATTTTTTCGGTTAATCGGGGACAAGTTATGAAAGTGCGATACATATAGCTAGGCGAAAAAAACCACCGAGAAAGAAATCCGTCGTCCAACTCGAGATACCTGTATTACATCTAGGTATTTATGTACGCTATAACACCTAATGACGATAGAAGCACTAAAGGAAGGAAAATTAATAGTTTATTTCCTCTATTATAGACTTGCTTTCGTTTAGAATATTCTATTATTTAAATATTTATTTATAGACGTGACTTTGGCCTAGATTTTATAATCAAAGTAATCAAAACCGTTTAATATTTACTCTGTCTTTAGTTAATTAATAGAAATATAAGAAAATCTATATATTTCCTAATATTTGCAGTCATCTTCACTTTCAATGCTTTCATGAATGTTTATAGACCAGGTTAACAACAAAAACTGCTTTTATTCATCCTTCAGGACCATTAGACGTATAAAATGTAGGAATTTATTTGACTAGATTCTTTTAAAGTAAATTAAAATGACATAATTGATCATCTCCTAAACGGTAACAATTCATAATAATTTGGAAATAATGTTTGCGAAGAACAATATATCAAATTCTACTTTCATTAAAAAAGAGTGCGAGGAGATTGGTTGCACGGTTTACGCTTGCACCTCGAGAAGACATCCATTTTCGTCCAATACTTGCGAAATGAGTTGATAGACAAATAAGTTTAACTAAGTTGAAATTTTTGTTACACCTTATTATAAAGTACACCAAACAAACAAAGCAACAAATTTTTTTCCCGATTCAAGGCTCTCCACTGTTTTACAAGAGTTACTTGGTTAGCTAACAGTAAAATGTGTAGCACATGAACAAGATTAACAATAAATAAATTACTGTACGTATTTATGTGTTAGTCAAAAACTGGTGAAATAATAATAATAATAGTAGTTAATTAATAAATTATAAGGATATAAATTAATCAATGATAATGAAAATACGTCAGGCGCTTTTTCCTGGTGGCTACCCATTTACATAAACCATGGAAAATTTAATATCCTGGTCATTTAACTAGAAAATATGAAATTCCAAGGGCGGTTCACTGACCTAAACACTACATACTATACACCTACTCATAAACTTATCCAAGCTGGCATATAAGTACATATATTTGCTTAGGTGCCTATAAAAGAAAATTTAGTACGTCTAAGGGAGAAAAATCGAAGATTCTAGTTAATTTTAGCGAAAAAACACTAACCGGAAACATTGTTCTAGAACTAATTCTAACTAATAATAAGTTAGTAAAGTAGTAGTTAGGTCTTGAATAGAATTGCTTATCCAAGACCTTACTTCTACTTTAAAGGCAATTCCTTCTTGCCTTCGTTATCTTCAACATTTCTAAGAAATATTTTTCATTTTCTCGTTTTCCACAATTTTCATAAACTCCACTTTTCTACAAAAAAACTCAGCGGTGCTGCAAATGGTTCAATGTTTCAAATTTATCAATGTCTCCCAAGGACAAACATCAATTTTAAAGATTCGCTAATCAATTATTTTGAATGCACCATCCTATAGCTACTACCTGTATTGTTACAATATGAATTCGAGTATATATCCCTTTCTAGCAAAAAAGAGCTAAATCTATATAAAGGACCTTGCTGCATCCTTACGGAAAGTGGCTCACTGTCAAACTGTTTGAATCTTTTAATCTACACGTCGAGAACTACTACATGTTTCATACAGTTTGATAGGGGGCAATTTTCCGTAAGGATCTTCAGAGGCATCATTAGACAGATTTTTTTTGATTCACTTAGAAATATTTAATTAATACTGAATTATTTCGTTATTAATTGAATTTCTCCATTAATCTGCCATCTACCTCTACCACTATGTACCACGCATGTAATATCAGCGAACACAGATTATATTTGTATCTGTGTTCGCTGATAAAGACGAATAATATAGATAATTACTGGACAGTTGTAAATCTGGGATAGTGTCGTAAATAATTATCAAAAGTCGTACAACAATGATAAAAACCTAAATTAGCTGCTAAACTGCTTAAAAATTTGAAGATACGATTCATTCGCACGAACATTTACTAGTATATAATTAATATTAGTACCTATTAAGTATACATACAATAAGGTAAGTGTATATATAGAGTGGTACACCGCCAACTAACTATATAACTAACTAACTAACTCTATATGTGCTGTTGTAACAACCAACCAACGGGTCAACTACCGTAGAGCAATGCACGCATTTTTTATTAAAATGTAAGGACATCCACTTGGTTCGTTCATTGATACCAGTAATCACATGGAAAATGAAAGTCGTACAACAAATACACACATATGCATGTATTTACAGTGCCCGCCAAAAAGCGTGCACATATGCAGCAAGGAAAACTAAAAATACTAGAACACAATAAAACTAGAGATATTTAGAGTTAAAATGAAATCGATTAAAGGAAAATACGGATTTTTGCAAGGAAATCCAATTTTTTTTTAGTGTAATTTACTTAGCTTTTTCTTATCACGGTTATTAGTTGTTGTTTTTCCGAAAACTGGAACATCCTGTATCCCTAATTAATTTCGAAATGTGGTGTTATAGGCGAATGATAACGTGGACAGAAAAGGTTAGAAATGAAGAGATATTAGAAAGAATAGGAGAACAAAGGATTCTATGGAAGTCAATAAGAAATAGGCTAGATAGGTTGGTAGGACATCTTCTCAGGCATGAAGGTCTAGTCAGAGACATATTAGAGGCAGAAACAGGAGCTAGGAGGGGTAGAGGTAGACCTAGATTAGATTACTGTTCGGAAATAGTTAAGGATGTGGATTGTTCTAGTTTTAGGAAAATGCGAAGTTTAGCTCAGGATAGGAAAAAGTGGAGTTACGTGTCCAACCAGTCTTAGGACTGACGACCTTATGATGATCACGATGAGTACCTAATGTAATCTAGATCTTTCTCTGGCCCTAATCGCTCATATTTCTGTTTTTAGTATGTTTGCAGCCAATGCACGCCATAGATAATTCCTTTTCCAAAAAGTATGTTTGTGGATTACGATTGACTCTAAAGAAAATCTGCAGATACTGTATCTACAGAAGGAAAATATTGCCTAATTTTTTGGTAAACACTGTATATACCCGCTGTATTCACAATATATACTTGCGCTGGTTCGGGAGATCGTTTGTTGTGTGGCGATTCGTCATTTTAACTTTGCATTTCAATTTTCTCTCGATTAAAAATCGCCTTGATCACGTAATAGATCCGCACACAGGTCACTGACATAGGCACCTACCCATACCAGTAACTACTAATAGAACATAATAGCTATGGGTACGTATCTGGCACGCAATCAAATACAAAAAAATCATAATTATAATTAAGAAAATGTCGTCGCCTGTGCGCCTTTTTTAGACGCTATTCGACCCAATTCCAAATTATGGGTTACTAATACGGATCTGCCTAATTGCCAAGTAATAATCTATGCGTGATAAGTGAATGTCACAAAGAATGCCTTTGTTGATAGTGACACATATTATTTAAAGAAATTAAAATCGTAACCAACAACACAAATTTAATGAATTTTGTCATCATCGCAATCTATGTTTGTCATTCCTTTGGAATCACTCACCATACGACAATGTTTTGTTTACTTTAAAAAGTAAAGAAAACGCTTTCTCTTTCTAATTTCTTAGTTTAAAGTTAAATTGGCAAGTTGAATTGTTGTTAGCAACATTTTCACTGCTGATATTGGGTTATCCTTAAGGATAATTAAGGTCAGGATACATTTTTGAAACTTACCTATTTCAATAGTCTACAACATCAAGAAAGTAAAACCAAAAAAGGTTTCAAATGTTATTTTATTAAAATATATATGACCATTTTGCCTTTTTTAAGAATAATTAAGTGTATAAATGTTACTTGGAAATTGCAACTAGAAACTAGTTTTGCCTGCGTCGAACTACATTATCCGAAGACCGATACTACTTCAAACTGGTTTCACCGGAAATGTTACCAGTCAAACTCTATTTCAGAAGAAACGAGTTTTGCCTAGACTAACCAGTTCATCCAGCATTCGATAGGATGAATCAGTTCGCACTAATTTAAACTAGTTTGACCAGTCGAACCGGATTTCAGAAAAAAACTACTTTTACCTAGGCTAAAGTAGTGTAGACTAGGCAAAAGTAGTTTATTGTGAAATTGTTTTTAAAAAAAACCCTAATAACTGAAAACGATCATTAAAAAACATAGTATTAAACTAGCTTTTCTTTTCAGATGTACATTTTCATTGCTGTCGCGATAATCATCGTAGCAACGGCGCTATGGTGGATAAACGACCAACACAGTTTGCCACCAGGCCCTTGGGATTTACCCCTTTTGGGTTTCCTCCCTTGGCTGGACCCCGAACATCCCTACGAAACCCTAACATCACTCGCTAAAAAATATGGGACCATCTACACATTCAATTTAGGAACAGTACGCACAATCGTCCTGTCAGATCATAAGATTGTCAAACAGGCCTTTATGAAGGATGCACTGTCTGGAAGGGCGCCTTTGTACGTTACACACGGAATAATGAAAGGACATGGTATGTAGATGAAGGGGGTTGAAGGTTTTTGTAATTGGTTTTCATTTAAATTCGTTTTTTGCAAAGGAAACTTAATGCAAGAACGATAGAGGTTATTGCAACAGAAAACTTCTTTTGACGCATGATTCTCATCGTTTATAACAGCATCGGCTATTGCGACCAAATTTCGTTACGGTTACGGTTAGACGCATTCTAGATTATGAAATATACTGCTTTTAGTTTAATATTATATTATTATGATATTTGGATATAGTAAACTACGGTTAAAACGACAAAAAATCACGTTACAAACGATATTTATAGCCTATATTACAGGGCGATAGTAAAAATAATGTTTTCGAAAATATATTTAAAAATTTTTTAAATCCATTTTCTCTGATTTAGTTACACCTACAATATGTTCCTTAAATTTTGTAGAACTTACATTTCAAAACAACGCAAGCGATTTGCATTTATTAATTTTATTATTGTTAATAAAAAATTTGCTATCATTGTTAGACCAAATGTATAAAAAGTGAATTGATAACGAAACCAGGTTAAGTGGATACTACTACTATAACGTTAACAATAAATCGTCACGTATAGCGTCGCTAAAAATTATCTCTCTGAATTGATTAAAATAAAAAAAAATTAAAATTGATACTAAAAACGTAAAATGTGAAATTATTTTATTTTGATGACAGATTAAAATAAGTTTTAAGTACTAGATGGAAATAATACACAAAATTAGCCAAAATTAGTATTTTTATCATTACCAATTGAGTATAATTCATTTATTGTGTACCTAAGACACATATTCATGTACAATTTATTAAATTAAATGTGGCAGGATTCTACGATCATAAAAAAAGTGCGGAACAACTGGTTACACGATTCACGTGTGCATGATTAAGATACAAGTCATAAGAATGCCTTCAACCTTTTTCGTAAGATTTTTGCGCGAATAGGTTCGAATTCTTGCTGACGAACGATAGATTAATTCCAAATAAATCGTGTCTCTGGTATTTATTACTTTCTAATTTTCGATAAATTGCCACTAAATTGGAATCAAAAAGCAATAAAACATCGAATCTAAAAGTTTAAAAAACCGCTGCGTTTCTTATAAATATTTAATATTTTATGTGGACAGGTTAGAATTTTGAAAATTGTAAAGAGGGTCACGTACAGCCGTGACATTTCGATTTTTGCATTGTGTGAATTCTAGTTAGCAAAAAAAGTTCATTCATATTCATGTTATAATACCACTATCATAATTTATACGTAAGCCTGTCCTCAAGGACTGGTCTTTTAATAATAAAAATAGCTGCATGGCAGAATGTGTTAATGAAGACAAAATAAACGATTAGCATAAGAAAAATATACCGTAACACAACACTAACCTACTAGATACAATATTCGCAACTAACCATTGACATTAAATGTCCGCAATATTCATATGAGTAGAGTTAATGGGAGAATGCATTTACGTCAACGACATATGTAGTCCGGACGAACTAATTTTAAACTTTTGGGTGTCTCGTTCCAACCACTACTACTGGTGGACGGGCAGTCCCTCCGGATTACGCCCGCGGATAAGGCAGAAGGCCCTCCTCAGTCCCATTTTAGAAATTATGAGAGTAGTTGGGTGGTGATTGGGGTGAGAAAGATGAGACGGGCGAAATAGGCATCTCAGAAGAGAGTGAAGGGGCTTATCTGTGAAGGAAACTACAGAAAAACTTCGACCACGATAGACGAACCCGGAATCGAACCCGTGTCCTTTCGAATGCTAAGCAATGGCCTAAACCTCTAGGCCAAGTCGCTCGGTAGTATATTCAATTCATTTGTAGGTATACGTAGAAAACTGCAGGTTATGCATGCCATCTTAAATGTAAGTTAGTCAAGATGGCTGAACGTCAGTCATAACTAACTTTGTACGATGCAAAATTGGTTTTCATAAAAAGTAGTTGCTATTGAAACAAACTAGGAGTTCAACGAAAAAAATTGGACAATAAAATAATATCAAATAGCTTTGGTAGTGCAAATATATACTATCTAATAGTTTCGAAAGTTTCCGCCAGTTGTTCTGTCTGTTAAGAATGTCGAGATCGTTCGTTCAACCTATAATTATGATATTTATGTTCGTGTGTCTTGTGTTTTATTTTACAATTAATAGTATACCTACTATCAAAATAGTCCTTGGATTTTTTTGTCACTTATGTCATGCTAAATGGTTGCAGTGTTGTGCTTCCTCCTGGCAATTTTTTTTCTCGCGCCTCCGTCTGTTGCCGTCATCCTCGTACGATTATAAGCTAAGCACATCATTTAATATGTACATAACTGCAAGACGGTGAAATAGTCGTCTCGGAGAACACGTCCGCGACTGCGAAATTGATTACCTACAAGAATTTTAATTGATGTCAATAATCGGTGTTCTAAAGTCCGTTTAAAGGACGTCTGGTAAAAATTTGGAAACGGACCTCCTTATTGAAATTAATGCGATACTACTAATACACAATCGCGTTAACGTAAAATTTTCTTTGGCGAGATTATTGAGAAATGTTGCTTATCTAAATAAGAAAAGATGCTTAGAATACTTTAAAATGTAGGTAAAATATATATATANATATATATATATACAGAAAAAGATAACTTTTGGGTGTTTCATTCCCATAATGTTGGTGGGCGGGTAGTCCCTCCGGATTACGCCGGAAGGCCCTCTTCAGCTTCCTTTCAGGAATCGTGGGAATGGGTGGGTAGTGGTTCTGTGAGAAACTTGAGACGGACGAGAACAGAAGAGAATTTCCCAGACATTTATCTAAGTGATTCAAGGAAATCACAGAAAAACTTGAACCAAGACAAACAGACGCGGAATCGAACCTGCGTCCTCCCGAATGCTAAGCAATGGTCTAAACCACTAGGCCATGCCACTCGGTCAAATACGGAAGGGTGATGAACCTATATATAGAAAGAAGGGCAGATTTATATTGAGAAGGGGTATTTTAAGGGCAATCCTTTAACCTATCACACCCTAACTAAAAATTCAATTAAGAAAAACACTAATTTCGTAGATGGACAGCTTTTCTTAAAATTGAACAAAGAAAATTATTGAGAAAAGAATCTTTAAGAGTACCTACTTATTTTTTTTTATGTAACTCTTTTGTTTGTATAATATTCAAGATAGATCACACGTGCGAAGGTCTTCATATAAGATAACTGAAAACAGTTACATAATGTCTAATAATAATGATAAGCCAAAAATTGCAAAATCTTCAAGGTAATTCATAATCACAATCAATCATGGTTATTTTTTAAACTTCTTCGAGGTTTTTACTATCTTATCTCCACCATATAACATAATTTAAAACACGTAATACGTAATTTTGTTAAAATTATTTCCTGAAAATGTTCAAGCATCGGTCGTCTGATTTCAAGGTAACACATTTGTTATTATTTTCAAATTTAATTAAAATTTGTTTATATGTATTCTTATAATATACGCATCTACCAAAATGATTATATTTGTTATGTAATTAAATATGTACTTATAGATAATAAGAAGAGCCTACATACAAATACATATTTACATTGGTTATGCATGACAATTTTATTAAAAACGTTGTTCAATTTGTTGATAATTCCGCAGGAACAAATTGTAATAGCATGGTGCACCTTGAAAAGAACAATTGTTGAATTTTCATAGGAAGACTGCTTAGAAGTCGCACAAGGTTCAAGAATGCCTTTTGTTTTCAAACTTGAACCCATTTGTACCATCGGCAAAGTCATTTATGAATAGAATACAAATATTATTAAAAAAAAGTCCCTATGTCAAGTTTAAATTCATTGAATCACAAACCAGTAAAGCAGGTGATCCAAAAACACCGAACTTTCCCAAATCCTATCTATAAATTTAGTTTTTCTAAACGGTTAAGATATGTGTTGCAAAAACAAGAACAAATTTCAGAAGAACAAGATCCAGACCAAGACGTACATATTGCACAAAAGCAAGAGCAAAACCAAGATCAAATGTGCTGGACAAATACCAAGACCAAAGACCGAAACTGAGATCCACACTTGCGTTTACTCATTAGTAATTGTAAGAGAGAATCACAAACCAGTGAAACAATTTATCGGAAAGCTCGGAGCTTTTCAAAATCCTGCATGCATTAGGAAATAATTTTAATTTTTCTAAACTGTTGCAAAAACAAGAACCAATGTCCCAAGAACTCTTTCCTATCCTGAGCTAAACTTCGCATTTCCCTAAAACTAGAATATCCCATATCCTTAACTATTTGAGAACAGTAATCTAATCTAGGTCTATCTCTACCCCTCCTAACTCCTGTTTCTGCCTCTAATATAAATTTTCTAATTTCCCTACTTACTTCATTGTCCTAACATTCCACGCTCCGGTTCGTGAAATATTGCACCTACCCCTATTGCACTTATTGATGACATCCTGCGATGTAGTCCCAGCCCGGACATCCGAATGGGGGACTAGTTTACGTCCGAAGTGCTTTACCCCAAAGGAGGCCATCATTTAATTTTTAACGTACGTTTTACTCGGGATCATAATGTGGTGGTTTCCCGTTGCCTTCCACATCGCAATATTATGCATCAGAGTGCCATACCGATCGTTGTGATGTCTGCCACCCTAAGTACTGAAGGAGCTGCTGCCCGCTTTCAGGGACTTGTCTTAGTCTGGTTTCTCTTTAAGAACCCCTCCATTATGGTTGAACCTATTGTCCGGCTCCCTAAATCATCGAAACTCGCAAGCCTAATTTGTACAAGGTTCAAGTCCCGTCGGATCGGAAAGTTGGATTGTATTACAACAAAAACCCAATTGTCAAAAGGGAATAATGTAGATGACATTTTAACAGAGACTTACGTATAGTTTAAGTGGTGGTGTTAGTAATTTTCCTTCGCGCTTGTATGACACATAATTTGCAGTACCAAATTTGTTGTCGTACGTATGTAATGAATATAAAAAAGAAGGTGCACTGCATATATGACATAATCTCATTATTATTTTTGTCCGTCTGTTTCAAATCCTTCTTCTACCTACTTGAATAATTACAACTAGGTACCGGTGTCGGCCATTTCGGCGACGACCCAAGGACACTGGCGAAAATTCCTTGTAACAATCCGTCAACGAAAATTGTTTACAATTTAAATTCAAGGCAATGTGATTTTTTAAGCGTCTGGCCGTATCATCAAAACAATTCGGGGCGTGTGTTTTTGTTACTATTATTGTTATTAAATGTGGCCATGTATGTTGTAATCGCCTTCCTGTATTGTGTAATCGCACACCAATTAAGACAGATCAGTTTTATCTGCGTATACGTCTGTGCAAAAAATATAACGAACTAATCAAGAGAATTTGTAAAAAGTTTTGAAAGGAAGAGTAAGATATCAGAGATTAGAGGAGGTTGTAGAAGTCAATATGGGAAGTAGGTTGGTAGGTCATCTTCTGAAACATGAAGAGCTATCTGGGAACGTATTAGAAGTAGAAACAGGAGTTAAGAGGGGCAAAAGTAGAGACGTAGATGGCGAATCAGATTACTGTTGCTTTAGTTTTTGGAGAAATGAGAAGTTTGACCCATAATAGGAAAAAATAGAGGTGCGTGTCAAACCAATTTTTGGGTCGAAGACATGATGATGATAATGGGGATATCGGATAAATAGTGAACCACATTAAATGAATAATCAATATCAAAAATTGAACAGTCGTGAAGCTAATACAACAAAGTGGCTAAAATGAATTTAGAAATACAAAAAATAAGGGTTTTTAGAGGCTACATTAGTACCAGGCTCAAAAACTTATGGTTATTGACTTTTGTTTAATTTCCTTTTACTTGTTAATGCTTTAACCTCTTGAAACTTAAGATTATGGTTGATTACATTGGACAATCTAAACTAGCCCCTAAAAATCCACTAACTTTCGGCATTCTCAAATTCATTTTGGCGAACTTGTTGTGTCATTTCATATCCAATTCTGTGTACAGCATCCTTATAGATAGGCATTTACAAAATTTAATGAATCAAAAATAAAATTTATATTTCATTTAGCAGGATGCGTTGTATCACTAAGCAAATCGCTCTGCGGTGCGCCAGTGCGCGTATTCATTTAAGCGAATGCATTTTGGCAAACTTTTTTCACTATATACTTTCTACTTTCTTCCTTTTTCATATTATCATGAACAGTAGGCTACACCTAACAAAATGGAGACATTAAAGCACGCACTAAATATACCTACACGAGCATTTATGATAATACACCAAGCTTTAGTGTCATTTTGACGTGGTTGGCTACATATCTATAGTTATCATAAACTTACCTAAATATTAGTATGTGTATTATATTCGATTTATTTCTAAAATCACAACCACAAGCACACGCGTCGTACATTTAGCTTATTATTCCGTAAACAACAGTGTGAGCTTTACGTTGTTCGACGTTGGTACAAGCTTTTTTAGTGATACTGATAACAACAGATAGATGGCGTCACGATGCCACAATAAACGTAAGGCCTAGTCTTCACTATAGCGTGTAGTCGTCGAGAGAACGCCGCTTTGCCTCTCAGTGGTTTTATTATGAGTAATAAAAAGCCTATTGTTGCAGTGTTAATAAAAAGAGCAAAAATCTGTTTGGAATAAGAGAGAGAGAGAGGTTCTTTTAATGCGTTTTCATTTATTTGAGAAATATTTAATTATCTTTCCCTTCTTAACTTTGATGATTATTGTAATGTATAACTTCCTCAAATCATTCCTTCGAAATTAACAAAATATCCCGCCTACATAAATTTCTTTTTATACGCAAATAAAAATAAAACAAAAATACTGGTATGCAAGGGAAGAAGAGGTAGGTGAAGAGCGAATATTAAGATAGGAGACGAAAAATTACAAGAAGTGGATGATTTCTGGTATTTAAGGAGTCAGATAAGTCGGGACGGAAGGAGTAGTAGGGATATAAAGCAGAGAATAGCGCAGGGTCGAGTCGCCTTCAATAAAAAGAAATTCGAAAAAGATTTTTAAAGGTGTAAGTTTGGAATGCGACGTTGTACGGGTGCGAAACATGGACGGTAGGCGTGAGGGGAAAAGAAAAGATTAGAAGCGTTCGAGATGTTACAGATGAATGATGAGAATACCGTGGATAGAGAAGGTTAGAAATGAATTGGTTTTAGAAAAAAAAGGAAGACAAAGGACTCTATGGAATCAATAAGAAATGGAAGAGATAGGCTGGTAGGACTCCTTCTCAGGCATGAAGGCCTGGTCAGAGACATATTAGAGGGAGATACAGGAGTTAAGAGAAGTAGAAGTAGACTTAGATTAGATTGCTGCTCGCAAATAGTTAAGGATGCAGGATGTTCTAGTTTCAGGGAAATGCGAAAATTAGCTGAGGATAGGAAAAAATGGAGGTGCGTGTCCAAGCAGTCGTAGGACTGACGATCTTATGTTGATGATACGTATGCATATTTTGTAAGAATTGATTGTCAGTAAGTTGTTTGTTAATGTATAAAGTGAACTTAACTGCATCAATATCGCCAGCGTCTGTGGAAACCCTTAATTCGAGGAAAACAAAATGTAACATTTCCAACATTTGTAGAAGGCGCAACAATATAAAAAAGCAGGATTGAAACTAACCATTCATTAAAACTAAAAAATCTCCATATCCTTAATAAGCCACAGATGGAGTGAAGTTGTTCGTAGGAAAATGGACAAACCATAAGATTGATAAGGGGCATATTTGGGCTAAATATGAAAAATCGGATGTCTTAATTATTATTTAATTTTGTAGCACACATCAAAATACATAAATGTTCTACTTACTTACGTATTGGAAAACTTTTTTCATTTTCTCATAAACCTACATCTATATTTATATTATTGTATTCTCAATTGTATTATTTACTTTTCAAAAGCTGAATCAGAACCGATTGGTGTTTAAGAAACTGGCGTTCTATTTCTCCGTTGTGTATGTTTAATTACACAATTTTCTTGACCTAAATTCGACGTTAAGACTGTGTCAGAACAAAACCGGCAACAATTATTATTGTAAACGTGAGAATTTATTGTAACATCAGCTAACCTTGTCTGCAAAGGTTACATTTAGCATATAACAATTGTAGTCGATAACAAAATATAAATGAATGTTTACAATCTGGCATCAAGTCATTCACACTAATTTCAGGAAGTTTCCTTCATCATGTTATAACATAGTGCACAAGATTAAAATCCGGAAAATCCACGAGATACGTAGCATGACTTACATATAAACGAATCTAATTTTTTTGCAATAATTTTATAGAAGGACAGATCATTATTTATATGACAGTACGTTAAGTATCAAATATTCACAGTATTATTATAATTTTTCTAGATTCGGTATCGATACAGAGAAGAAATCATATCTGTCAGCTATTTTGGAAATATTTCTTTCACCTTAAAATGCATCATACTTTCCTTCTGATATTCATATTTCTATTCTACTTGGATATTTTGATACACCCTATATATGCATAGGTATATGGGTAATTCTACGCAAGAAGTTAGAAAATAAAGTGAATAATGGAATGACATTTTTTTTATATCTAAGTTTTGNAATTAAGGTCAGGATACATTTTTGAAACTTACCTATTTCAATAGTCTACAACATCAAGAAAGTAAAACCAAAAAAGGTTTCAAATGTTATTTTATTAAAATATATATGACCATTTTGCCTTTTTTAAGAATAATTAAGTGTATAAATGTTACTTGGAAATTGCAACTAGAAACTAGTTTTGCCTGCGTCGAACTACATTATCCGAAGACCGATACTACTTCAAACTGGTTTCACCGGAAATGTTACCAGTCAAACTCTATTTCAGAAGAAACGAGTTTTGCCTAGACTAACCAGTTCATCCAGCATTCGATAGGATGAATCAGTTCGCACTAATTTAAACTAGTTTGACCAGTCGAACCGGATTTCAGAAAAAAACTACTTTTACCTAGGCTAAAGTAGTGTAGACTAGGCAAAAGTAGTTTATTGTGAAATTGTTTTTAAAAAAAACCCTAATAACTGAAAACGATCATTAAAAAACATAGTATTAAACTAGCTTTTCTTTTCAGATGTACATTTTCATTGCTGTCGCGATAATCATCGTAGCAACGGCGCTATGGTGGATAAACGACCAACACAGTTTGCCACCAGGCCCTTGGGATTTACCCCTTTTGGGTTTCCTCCCTTGGCTGGACCCCGAACATCCCTACGAAACCCTAACATCACTCGCTAAAAAATATGGGACCATCTACACATTCAATTTAGGAACAGTACGCACAATCGTCCTGTCAGATCATAAGATTGTCAAACAGGCCTTTATGAAGGATGCACTGTCTGGAAGGGCGCCTTTGTACGTTACACACGGAATAATGAAAGGACATGGTATGTAGATGAAGGGGGTTGAAGGTTTTTGTAATTGGTTTTCATTTAAATTCGTTTTTTGCAAAGGAAACTTAATGCAAGAACGATAGAGGTTATTGCAACAGAAAACTTCTTTTGACGCATGATTCTCATCGTTTATAACAGCATCGGCTATTGCGACCAAATTTCGTTACGGTTACGGTTAGACGCATTCTAGATTATGAAATATACTGCTTTTAGTTTAATATTATATTATTATGATATTTGGATATAGTAAACTACGGTTAAAACGACAAAAAATCACGTTACAAACGATATTTATAGCCTATATTACAGGGCGATAGTAAAAATAATGTTTTCGNACATGCCAGGAGACAGAATTTTACATTTTGAATGTAATTTTTTTGCAATAAAAATAAGGTGAAGCAGTGTTATTTTGAGGTTCGTACTAGACACAGTTATAGTTTACAATTTTCAATTGGAAAAAACTAATTTTTTTAAATATAAACATACGAAATAAGCTGTGCCGTCTAAAATTCCTTCGTTTGTAGAACTACCCATATATATATGTAGTTAAAATTAATTTCAGGTTTAATATGTGCTGAAGGAGAGTTATGGAAAGACCAGAGGAAATTCACCTCTTACTGTCTAAAAAATTTCGGAGTGAGCAAATTTGGTTCAAAACGCACTGAGCTCGAGTCAATGATATTAAAACATGTCGAAAATTTGATAAAGGTGAAACAATAAGCTAAAACTTATCGTATCTAATCAATACAAGCATCTGATTAACTGTTTAGGAAATTATATCAAAAATGAATATAAATGGTACAGTGACATTTGATCCGTTTGAAGATCTTAGACATAGCGTTGGTACGTTGGTGTGCCAGCTTGTATTTGGGAGATCATGGGAAAAGGATAACGAATTATGGAAATGGCTCCTGTTTACCCAAGAAGAAGGAACTAAGTTAGTAGGTGTTTCAGGACCACTCAACTTTTTACCGTTTTTAAGGTAGGTGATACAGATCAATCAATATTATTGTTAAGTAGTTCTTGGAACGAAATTCCTTATTATATGTTCTGGAAAGAAACTCAGCTATTTCTTCTGATAATTCTATTGTACTTAGATTTTTGCCAAAATATAAAAAGTCAATGGATTTTTTGGTCGTAAACCAGAAGAAAACACATGAAACTTACTCCAGATTCATCCAAGAAGAAGAAAAAGTATTAAACGAACTGATAGAATCCGGCAAAAGTCCAGAACCAACAAGTTTTGTTCAAGCCTATTTACTAGAGAGACAAAAAGACAGCAAAGCAAATGTTAAAGATAAATTTTATTCTGATGTTCAGTTGCATCATTTTCTCGCAGATTTGTTTGGAGCCGGGCTCGATACTACATTAACTACTGTAAGGTATACTTAACATTCACTGAGATATGTTAGGCTAGATTCAATAGACAGAATATAATGTAAAATCAGTACTAGAATCATTTATTTGACAATAAGATTAGGATCTTATAATAACAATTATAATCTTATTGTCAAACAGTTTCTGTATAGAGTGAACAATTTTGCTTACCATGGCGGTCATGTTTAATCTTGCTAGCACTTGTTTTAAATTATCGTTTGTAATCACTCGTAACACCACAACTCACTCTCGTTACTACAACAGAACGGCCGAAAATACACGAATAACAACTAATCCTTGCATTTTAATAATCTTAGTTGAATTAGCACATTTAATGCGTTCTTCTCGCGATTAGTTCAAGCACGGCGATGGTAACCTATTAAATATTCGTTTTCTCACAGACTACTCTGTAAGATTTTCCGATTACTATGGTAACGTAACAATGCCGCCAAATTCAAATCGGATACGCATGATTTTCACTGTTCAAAAGTATTATTGTCTAAAGTTTGTTTTACTTTTACGTCGATATAAACAAATGTTTGTTTTTGTTTGTGTTTACATCGATAAGATATTACTCTAACAATGTAAAACATCTAATTTGGTTTCTGATTGGCATTTGTTATCACTAACAACACCACAATCCACTTTTGGCTAAAAAAAATAACGATCTGTGCCTTACATTTTAATAATCTTAATCGAATTAATGCGTTTTGAGACACATATTTAACGCGTTTTTACACTGAGCAATGTTATTAACCTATAAATACTAGTAGTTCCACAGATCACTCTGTGAGATTTTCCAGTTGCCATGGTGATGTAGCATTACCGCTAAATTCAAACTAGATTTTCACGTTTGTTCTTATTCGATGACTTTTAATCACGCGTTTGCCTATTCTATTCTAAATTTTTTATTATTATTAATACGGCAATTGGGTTTAATAAAAGGTGGTACGTGCTGTATATGGCAACTCACCCCAAAATCCAGGACAGGATTTTCGAAGAATTAAGCGTGTTACCAAAGGATCGTTTGCCATGTTTGGATGATTTACCATCATTACCGTACACGGAAGCTTCTATAGCGGAAACTCAACGTATCAGATCGGTTGTACCATTGGGCATACCTCATGGGTGCATGGAAGATATCGAACTAGATGGGTACGTGTTGCCGAAAGGATCGATGGTTGTGGCTCTTCAATGGGCAATCCACATGGACGAAAAACACTGGCCCAATCCTGACGAATTCAATCCTGACAGATTTATTAATGCAGAAGGACGATTTTTCAAACCCGAAGCTTTTATACCTTTTCAAACTGGTAAGATTTGTGATTATTGTGCTTTATTTAATTAAAAAAATATGTTTGTGGCATTTTCTTTGGTTGACAGTGGAATTTACATAACCGCTAGTATACAGTGTCAATATTTTTTCTTCACCTTTCAATACCATTGTTGACCTTTTAGTTACGTAACGGAGGTCCAATAAAATGAAATCATGCTGACGCAATTTAAGAGCCTGTCGCCTGTTACAGTATCCCCTTGAAAAATAATTTAAATTCTTCTTTTGCGCTTTTATTTAAAGCATAATACAATCCAAATTATTTAGTAAAAATTTGCTTCGTTAGACTGTTAGTTGATCTTCTTTTGCTGATTTCGTAAATTGCTGTATGGAGGTCACTATCACTTGCCCAAAAAAAATGACCGATTTCGTGGGAGTCTCTAGAGCAAACTAACGTTAAATTTACGATGTGTTCGTAATGGTACTTTTTTACCATGCTCTTATTAGCATTAAACTCGTCTAAAGAAAAAAGAGAATTCGAACTGTTCTATTAACTGTAATTTTTCTTCTATTATTATTTCGTTTTTCAGATAAGTTGGATTTAATAACACTAATAAACTTTAACTTTTTTAAGAACACTATGAAATATCAAATAATAAATTTTAAATTTTTGTTGTTTGTTTTAGGCAAAAGAATGTGTGTAGGGGACGAACTGGCAAGAATAATATTGTTTCTTTTCTGTTCGTCGTTAATAAAAACCTTTGCAATTTCCGCCGAAAGTGAACCAGATTTAACTGGAGAATGCGGAATTACCTTGAATCCGAAACCTCACACTTTAAGGTTCACGTTGAGACCTTGATTGTTGCTTTATAATCGAAATACATACGTACGTACGTTTATTTCTCTGTATTGTCCCATTACCACGTAGTAAAAATGAAAAAAAAAAAAAAGAAAACGCAAAGCAAATAAATTCGTTCATTACAAAAATATTTTATTTGTCTTCATCAATATAAAAAACTAAATAACAACGGTAGTCAGTTACTTGGTGATAAAAAAAGTACAGACTATATGATAAATTTACGCTTAATAACTACTACATACTAAAAACGCATACTGAACATATTGAGGATAGATTAATATTAATAAAAAAAATCGACTAGTCAAGATTAGATAATGAATCTTAAATCCTAGCCGAACACATCAGGTTTGACCAACAATAACTAAAATAAAACACTGGTTCTCATGATAAGGTAACGACGAAAACAAAATGAGCTTGTACAATGAAAGTCGATTTTTCGCTCGAAGAATCAATAATGTACTTTAATACCACACCTTTAATCAATCACAAAATTGAAGCGCATCCGGGTAAAGAACATTAATTGTAGTATTGTCATGATCAACAGTTGGTTTACAAACATTACGCGGTAAAAAGGTTTTTTATTGTGGCAATGGAATTATGAATCTTTTTACCCTGAAATGCTTCGATTTTATGATCAATAAATAATTAACTGTACAGGTACTCAAAGCATTTCGGGGTAAGATTGGTTTTTATCGATGCATTTACCCTGAAAGGCTTCGATTTTATGATTAATTCTCTTTGTACGTATCTGATTATAAAATGTAAACAGCTGATAACAAAAGATTACGGTTTTTACTTGAAGTGTTTCATGGGTCTAGAAATGTTAAAAAAACATCACACCTCCTAGGTTTCAACCAACCGCAGCGCCGTAGGGTCAAGAAGGTTTTTCTCTACCCTCAAATACTTCGACTTTATGATTTGTTTAAACAGCTGATAATAAAAGAATTATAGTTTAAACGAAGTATTGTATCAATCTTTGAATGCTAAAAAACATCGCACCTTACCCGCCCTTCTTCATACAAGTGAAGCACTGTAGGGTAAAGAAGTTTTTATTTTATTAAAACCTTGTTATCCTGAAATGCTTCGATTGTACGATTTGTTACATAACTGATCATAAAATTTGAACAGCTGATAATGAAAAAATCATAGTCTAAAGGAAGTATCAACGCTAAAAAGCATCGCATCTTACCCGCCCTGCTTCATGCAAGTGAAGCGCGATAGGGTAAAGAAGCTCTTCTTCTGTAAAAACCTTTTTACCCTGAAGTGCTTCGATTTTGCGATTGATTTCAATGAGGTCCACACAAATAAATAAAAAACAGTTAATCAAACTATAAAAATCGACGAGCGCCAAATCGACACGTGTATGTAAATATATANTTTTGGAAACAATTGAGGCCGATTGCTCCATTCTCGAGTAAGTATTTTTGAGGAAAAAGACTTGGAGTATTGAACAATTGATTACTTTAGTTCCTTTCTTCGATATCAAGGATTAAAATTGGTGACAGTTTACTGTCATGCCAAATTTAAATTTTCAACTAAAAAAATTTCAGAATCCTAAAAACTGATGCTGATGTTAAATTTGGCTAAGCAAAAGAGGCGGACTAAAGAAGTCGAAGGTGTGTTTGTTATTGCAAAACCAAGAGACAGAGAATGAGACAGACCGTACATGGTTTGGAGTCATTGACCCGGCGCAGCAGTCTGGTGCTTTCACTTTTTTTGCACAGATACAAATTTAATTTGACTATACTGACCCAGTACATTTGTTGTCTTGCTTTTATACACAAGGTCGTAATGGGTACGTTGACATTTCGATTCGGAATAACTTACCGTGTTGGGGCGTGAGTTGTTCCCATTGGGACGATGCTCGAAATCCGCATGATCTCCAAAATGGTCGATTCGGTAACTGGAAGATACGAGAGGTCCTCGAGCTTTGGTAATCTCTTACGGCCAATGACTTGGTCCATTTCTTCTTGCACTTGCTTCATCACTTCGGGATGATGGAGCATGAAAAGCACCGCCCACAGAAGGGAACTCTTTATTGTCTCCATGCCAGCGGAGAACAGATCCCCCATTATTTGTTGCATCTGACGATCTGTAGTGACCGAAACAAAAGAAAAGGTTTTGTTAGATTTCGGAAGAGAGCTGACGTTGTTTCAGTCTTTTGACTTACCATGATCTCGTCCTTCAAACAGGCAGTGGCCGACGCCTTCTTCATTGGCCTTCTGTATTTCATAGAGATAAGTATCGAGTAAGTCACGAAGATTGCTGGCATCAAATGTTCGACGATGTTCGTCAATTGTTTCTTGTAAAAATTCTCCCATCTCTGCTCTATTCTGTAACAAATCCATCAGAAAACGTTAACATTCAAATTTTCTTCAGGATTACTTACAAGTATACGTATATAAATCGAAAGAGGCAAAAATTGGATTGGATGAAAAGTTATTTACCTGAGCAATTTTCTTTCTCGTCTTCTGTAGTCCTGGCAGATACCGGAGCACAGGTATGAACACTGCCGCTTCCAGAGACCCGAACAATTTGAATCCTTCATCGATTAGGTCCATGAACCTCCTGAATCGTCCGTCGTTATGAGAAAACCGTACGGACATTATGATGTCGCAGATGACATTTGATATGGATACTGCTAAGATAGGATTCATGTCAACTGGCGCGTTCCTTTTGGCTTTCAACACACAAAGATATTCTTCCACTTCTGTCATTATGCGACTTTCCATTTGGGCTTTCCTCGATCCGATGTAAGTCATGCCAAAATGGCGCAAACGGTCGTGAAGAAACCGCCTCTGATCTTTCCACAATTTACCTTCGGTATTAATGACACCTGGAAGAACAAATAAACGAAAAATGTTCAATTGTCATTTTTTTCCATAGTAAATGAAATAATAATACTGGACATACAACATTACGTCAAACTATCTCGTCGAGTTACAAGAGCGATTACGTAAAGTTTGTATTTAGGTTAGTCTGATGTTGGCTGTCTTGTATCAGTGCAATATTTGTTGATATCGTACGAGAATGATTAGAATGACCTGTCAAGGTTGATATTAATACACATAATAAGTGTGTCAAACGAAATGCGTATATAAATAACCAAGTACGATAAATTTATTATTCCTTTTTGTGTGGTATTTATCAGTAATACAACCGTTTGTACCACGTGCGTACCTATTTAACAAACGCCCGGATTTAGAATTGGATATGTTCCTTTTGTACTTACCGTATCCGCCCAAAATGCTTGTGAACTCGGTGGTAGGTCGTCCGGTGAACTCTTCTTTCCGAAACGCGTCCCTGATGATCTTGTAATCACTTAAAACGACAATAAGTTGCGATCCGAGCCTGGTGGAGATCAGGGAGCCGTATTTTTGCGTTAGGTCCCGAAAGTGAAGATGTAGATCGCCCTTGAGGAACGGCAGCGATCCAACGATGGGAAGACCCCACGGTCCAGGCGGTAGAGACCTGGTTTTGTTAACTTCCTGGCAAATCCTTACTAACACCAAAACGACGAAAAACACCGACAGAACATTAGTAGACACTTCCTTATGCACAACATTCCACAACAACCAGAACGTGTAAACGAACATTTTTTTTACGAATGGAAGGAAAACGAGAACGAAAAAAAAAAAGAGTTCGTGAAAAAGGGAGACGACCCAAACCCAACAGCACTCACTATCTCTCAAAGATACACGGCGATTTTCGCTTGTGTTGCATGAGTGTCAACGCTATGCGATATCAGTGTTAAAGCATTGCTTATATATGTGCACAAGGTGCTAGCCGTAAGTAACTAGTGGGGGTTAAGTGTACGTAGACCAAGGAGGAGCTTTGCCGTAAAATCCAATCGGAAATCGAGTCTGACCGCGCTGATTGGAGACGCTGATGCGTTTACTGTCGATCTTCAGGTTGCATCTCGTTCAGTGTAGCAGCTTTGCGCGTGACTTACGCCGATCAGACTTAAGTTAAGTCCTGTGCGGCGACGCATAATTGTTTGATCGACGTAAAGTAGCAAGCCAGTGAAAATGCGGAGGTCCGCCAAAGCGCTCGCTCCGTTCACGGAGCGCCGACTAACGATTTGTTAATTTTTGTGAGCTGTGAAATTCGCGAGCGGCAAAAGTAAAGTATACAAAGTTTAAAGATATCCTAAATGACCCTGAAATGTACAGATAGAGGCCACACTGTAAATCAGCCAAATTGCGGGGATTATTAGATATCACCTTTTCATGACCTTCTTTCCAATCGTTATTAATTAATTTTATTTTAAGTATGGGACAAATTTTCTAGTGTTTGTGTTATAAATATAACTAATAAGTACAAAAAAAAACCAAAGCATACAGTAAATTTTAACTAAATGTTCTTGGATACTTCGGAAGATGCTATAGCTTGGCGAAATAAATGTCAAATTCAATAAAATCTAGTCAAATAGTACCATTCTTATGTAGTTATGGATTTCAATCAATTATCGATAGACTTCAACTTATAAACATACTGAAAAGAAACTGATAAATGTCATACGATATATATATATAAAGCAAAATTTCCACAATTTAGCAAGATTGCTTTAGTACTAATACCTGCTTAGGGTCGAAGATAAATTAGCATAATGTGCTTTGGTACTTATGTCAAATAATTGTATAAACAGTACATGTAATTTTCTTCCAAAAGGACGCTCGTAGTTAACCTTGACCAGGCAGCTTTTTTTGCAAATTATTTTCTTATTTGTATGTGTGTGTACAATAAAATCACAGACCCGTACAAACACAAGTTCGTAAAACTTGTTGATGTCCATAAGTCGTCCAGATTGGACAATCACAAACCATTAGAATAACAAACTGGAATCTATGATGTTTTGTCGCTTACGTAAAGAATTATGAATTGTCTATTAACCTGTTTGAGACGTGAAGACGTATTATAAAAAATGCTAAAACTATTATTGGTAAACAGGAACTAGCATGAACTACCTATTCTATAGCTACTATTTTACTAACAGTGAGTTCTCTTATCAAAGCTTTTTAAGCATCAGTCTATGGAAGGAATTCATCATCATCATAAGGTCGTCAGTCTTAAGACTGGTTGGACACGTACCTCCACTCTTTCCTATCCTGAGCTAAACTTCGCACTTCCCTAAAACTACAACAGCCTACATCCATAATTATTTGCGAACAGTAATCTAACCTAGGTCTACCTCTACCCCTGATAACTTCTGATTCTGCCACTAATATGTCTCTGACTAGACCTTCATGCCTAAGAAGGTGTCCTACCAACCTATCTCGCCTATTTTTTATTGACTTCCATTTGACTCTGTTCTCCTATTCTAAAAGATAAAAACATTGCATCCAATACATACAGGTAATTTGGACTGATGTGAACATCATTATTTATCTGAAGCTTCATCTTTATTCCTGATTGTATAGCGAGGCAAACGGTAGAATGCGATAGGTCCTGCCTCTCGTCCAACAGAAGGTCCATGTAATTCTAAATTACCTATACATTTAAACATTTGGGGTTTATGAAAACAATTTGGGGGTAAATTCTGCTTTGCTCATACTTCCTTTGCAGGGTTTATATCTAAGTAATAAAAAAAAAATAGGAAATCCTAAGGATAATTTCTAAATATGCAATTAATATGTACCTATAAATAAGTACCTAATACGTAGTTCTATCTATTATCTTATCTTCTCTTCTTTCCAATAGATTAAGAAAAAAATTTATTCATTTATGGCAAATCAATTAACCTTGTTCAACAGGTACCTACATTTATCTATTTACAAAGAACAGCTTGCCAAATACAAAACAATTAATACACAATGTACAATATTTTTTGTACTAAAAAAACACTCACAAAATGATCTCTCCTCTGTCTTCTCTACAAGATCATATAATAATATTTGCCTCTCTTCTTATTGTGTGTTGCTTTCTCTGTCTACTTCTCATTAATAATAGGAAACAAATGTACCTACAATATTTTTACAACACGTCGACTGTTTCACGGCTCTGGTATGCGAAGTACGTACAGCAAATCGTCGGCCTTCAACAATTACTCGAGCTTTTTGCCGTCTTGATAAGAACTCTTGCTTATTTGTGGTAAAATTGTCTTGCCAGAAGGCATCTCAACCAAATGTTTTCTGATGCTTCCGATTCAGTTTAAATTCACGTTTTATACTTGACGGTTGTGTCCATAAAAGATGCAAATAATCGCGTTAGTTAATAGTTATGATCATTTATTAATCTTTGCTGTTCATAAACGAACGATTAGTGGATGCTTTAATAAATAATATCGACGCAGTTTAGTTCATGGTGAGTTAATTTCAAGTATTATAAAGATTTAAACCTGCCACTACGTTAATTACATTTATATTGGCTGCATTGCACCATTTGATAGGTACAGTGGCATTTGGACTGTAAATAAAAAGCTACGAAAATGTAAATATTACAGTGGTATTTAAAGTATTGTATTTTTGTAACTATTTATAGCGTTTTGAAACAGCACGCTGTACGCATTAGGAATTCAATTTTTAATGTTGTACCTATTATGTTATCTAACATTTGATGACAGATATCTAGTCATTATAATTTCCTAATAAATCATGATTCCACGCCGCTATTTACACGGAAATTAACACTCAAGTAGTTGTTACATCGTGTATTGTTTGTCAAATACGAAATAGTTACACAGGTAGACACTTGTAGCATTCATTGTGTTTGTGTAGTTTAGTTGGTTATTATTAATTGATTGCATTGGGAATGTACATTACATAAATTACATTAAAACACTCGTCGTTCAGTAGACATCGTTTATAACGACATCTGGTACAGTGACATATTGGTTATTGCAATGAACTGTTTTATAAACTATATTACAGCAGTCACAATCCAGCAAGACATCGTTTATAACGACAAAATGGTTATTGCGACTACTTGTTTCATAAACATTCACAATCCAAAAAACATCGTTTATAACGACATCTGATGCAATGACATAGCGGTTATTACGACTACTTGTATCTTAAACTATCGACTACTTGTATCTTAAACTATATTACAACACTCGCAGTTCAGCAGACATAGCGTATAACGATATAATGGTTATTACGACGACTTGTTCCATAAACTATATTACAGCACTCACAATCCAGTAAGACATCGTTTATAACGACGTCTGATACAACGACATGGCGATTACAGAAATAACCACTAATCTTTATTATACAGCAACAATAATTTTACAGTAGATACTGTAATTTTCGGTCCAATTTGAAAGAATACTTATATTACGTATTATGAAGTTACTTTCGAAATATTTTCAGTGTCTATTTCTGATATATCTACCTGTTAAGGTTAATAATCTTGCCAGTGTAATAAGTATCGGAAATAATCACTTTTTAACTGTCTCACGCTGATAATGCCTGCCCTGATTCATTAGAATCTACCCGATTATTCCAAGAAAAAGAATTTCACTTATATTAGGTATTAGACACCTAATATAAATAGCAATCAACGTTCTCATAATATAACGACGTAAAAGTAATGGATTTAAAAATGTTTTTGTAATTTATTTGATGCGAACAGAAGTCTAGCTTTGCCTTCGCCTTATTTACCATTATAATAAAGGCATCTTATTTAAAACGAATAAATATTTTACGCCGCATTAGATAGTTCGTAGTTGTGTAGCTCGAAAATGTCACTGACTATGTAGGTTGATGATAGACAATATAATTTGCGATACAATTCCAAAGCCTGTGTCTTTGGTCTTTATTCGAAAGTAAGGTAACACCTTTTTGATTATTATTTACATACTTATGTAGTTGTGGATTAAGTAAGAAACTTACTAATATATCTGATATACTTCTCTATCCATTTTTATGTACAATCCCAATGGGATTATCCGATAGTCCTGTGAAAAATGTCATAGAACCAAAATTTATTTATACTACAGCTTATTTAGTTTGCCCTATTTAGCTTAATCTAGACCTAAAGGTGATCTATTCTATCTGAACCCTTTTACAACGTGCCTCATGAAGACTGTTGTGTCCCTGACGTCAACACCCTACTTGACCCTTTTTACGACTTGTCCCATTAAAACTGATGTGTTCTTTTCGTCGATACTTTACCTGAACCCTCCCACGGCTTTCCCCATTAAGACTGATATGTCCCTGATGTCAATAGCCTACTTGAACCCCTTTACGGTTTGTCCCATTAGGACTTTTGTGTTCTTAACGCCAATATCCTACCTGAACCCCTTCACGGCTTGTCTCATGAAGACTGATGTGTCCCTGACGTCGGTACCCTAATACTTGGACCTTTTACGGCTTGTCCCATTAAGACTGACGTGTTCTCGACATCGATACCCTACCTCAACCCTTTCGCGGCTTGTCTCATTAAGACTAATGTCTCCCTAACATCGATACTTTTCCTCAACCCTCTTACAGCTTTCCCCATTGAGACTGATATGTTTCTGATATCGATACCTTACCCGAACTGTTCCCCACTAAGACTACTGTGTCTCTGATATCGATACCCTACCTCAACCCTTTCGCGGCTTGTCTCATTAAGACTGNTAATAATGATAATAGTAATAAGTGATGAAATTAAACACTATGCAACACAGCCTAACACTATTAAAAGGGAGATCTGCTAATAAGTTGCCAGAAAAAAAAAAACCTAAGTATTTGGGAGATCATTTTAGGAATCGCATTCAGTCACCGTGCTCTTCCGGCATCTCTTCTTTCTCTTAGCTACTGTTTTTGTAAAAAGGTACATACATACTAGTGACATCCTGCCGACCTAATGTTCGTCGACGCGTATTCACTGTCCAAAGGCCGATGTTTTAGACATACCCTGAATGCGTCGGGCGTTATCGTCACTCCCGCGTTCCCTTTCAGACTCGGTAACGTCTCGTTCTCGGGAACTGACAGGTGAAATGTGTGGAGCAACGACGAGAAGAAGAGAAAGATTTCCATTCGGGCCAAAACCTCTCCCAAACACATACGTCGACCCACACCGAACGGTATAAAATACTCGGGTTTTGTTACTTTACCTTCGGCATTGACGAACCTCGACGGGTCGAATTTTTCCGGCTGGTCCCATAACGTCGGGTCCATGTGCACCGCGTGTAGGAGGGGAACCACTTGGGCGTTGTGAGGTACGCTGAAGCCGTTCAAATTCAGATCTCTGAAATGAAGAAATTGAAAATTAATAAAACTGAATTATTACAGACCTTGTGGTAAAAAAAGCTGTCAAAAGCAAGAATCACTTCATTTATTGACTTATTATGCTAACGTGTCTTACAGTAAAGTCAAAATTAAGTGAAAATAATTTTGGATAATCTTTTGTAATCCAGGCGACTCCAAACTAGTTTATTAAGTTGTGACAATATACTGCTATCTGCTTATATCTTCTGCTAATTGAAGTGCTGATGACATCCAAGAAGATCGATAAATTATTGACCAAGAATTTTTGATGATGATAAGTTTGTAAGATAATATCTAGAAATCTTTAACACTGATTGGTCCAGTAATTTTGGAAACAATTGAGGCCGATTGCTCCATTCTCGAGTAAGTATTTTTGAGGAAAAAGACTTGGAGTATTGAACAATTGATTACTTTAGTTCCTTTCTTCGATATCAAGGATTAAAATTGGTGACAGTTTACTGTCATGCCAAATTTAAATTTTCAACTAAAAAAATTTCAGAATCCTAAAAACTGATGCTGATGTTAAATTTGGCTAAGCAAAAGAGGCGGACTAAAGAAGTCGAAGGTGTGTTTGTTATTGCAAAACCAAGAGACAGAGAATGAGACAGACCGTACATGGTTTGGAGTCATTGACCCGGCGCAGCAGTCTGGTGCTTTCACTTTTTTTGCACAGATACAAATTTAATTTGACTATACTGACCCAGTACATTTGTTGTCTTGCTTTTATACACAAGGTCGTAATGGGTACGTTGACATTTCGATTCGGAATAACTTACCGTGTTGGGGCGTGAGTTGTTCCCATTGGGACGATGCTCGAAATCCGCATGATCTCCAAAATGGTCGATTCGGTAACTGGAAGATACGAGAGGTCCTCGAGCTTTGGTAATCTCTTACGGCCAATGACTTGGTCCATTTCTTCTTGCACTTGCTTCATCACTTCGGGATGATGGAGCATGAAAAGCACCGCCCACAGAAGGGAACTCTTTATTGTCTCCATGCCAGCGGAGAACAGATCCCCCATTATTTGTTGCATCTGACGATCTGTAGTGACCGAAACAAAAGAAAAGGTTTTGTTAGATTTCGGAAGAGAGCTGACGTTGTTTCAGTCTTTTGACTTACCATGATCTCGTCCTTCAAACAGGCAGTGGCCGACGCCTTCTTCATTGGCCTTCTGTATTTCATAGAGATAAGTATCGAGTAAGTCACGAAGATTGCTGGCATCAAATGTTCGACGATGTTCGTCAATTGTTTCTTGTAAAAATTCTCCCATCTCTGCTCTATTCTGTAACAAATCCATCAGAAAACGTTAACATTCAAATTTTCTTCAGGATTACTTACAAGTATACGTATATAAATCGAAAGAGGCAAAAATTGGATTGGATGAAAAGTTATTTACCTGAGCAATTTTCTTTCTCGTCTTCTGTAGTCCTGGCAGATACCGGAGCACAGGTATGAACACTGCCGCTTCCAGAGACCCGAACAATTTGAATCCTTCATCGATTAGGTCCATGAACCTCCTGAATCGTCCGTCGTTATGAGAAAACCGTACGGACATTATGATGTCGCAGATGACATTTGATATGGATACTGCTAAGATAGGATTCATGTCAACTGGCGCGTTCCTTTTGGCTTTCAACACACAAAGATATTCTTCCACTTCTGTCATTATGCGACTTTCCATTTGGGCTTTCCTCGATCCGATGTAAGTCATGCCAAAATGGCGCAAACGGTCGTGAAGAAACCGCCTCTGATCTTTCCACAATTTACCTTCGGTATTAATGACACCTGGAAGAACAAATAAACGAAAAATGTTCAATTGTCATTTTTTTCCATAGTAAATGAAATAATAATACTGGACATACAACATTACGTCAAACTATCTCGTCGAGTTACAAGAGCGATTACGTAAAGTTTGTATTTAGGTTAGTCTGATGTTGGCTGTCTTGTATCAGTGCAATATTTGTTGATATCGTACGAGAATGATTAGAATGACCTGTCAAGGTTGATATTAATACACATAATAAGTGTGTCAAACGAAATGCGTATATAAATAACCAAGTACGATAAATTTATTATTCCTTTTTGTGTGGTATTTATCAGTAATACAACCGTTTGTACCACGTGCGTACCTATTTAACAAACGCCCGGATTTAGAATTGGATATGTTCCTTTTGTACTTACCGTATCCGCCCAAAATGCTTGTGAACTCGGTGGTAGGTCGTCCGGTGAACTCTTCTTTCCGAAACGCGTCCCTGATGATCTTGTAATCACTTAAAACGACAATAAGTTGCGATCCGAGCCTGGTGGAGATCAGGGAGCCGTATTTTTGCGTTAGGTCCCGAAAGTGAAGATGTAGATCGCCCTTGAGGAACGGCAGCGATCCAACGATGGGAAGACCCCACGGTCCAGGCGGTAGAGACCTGGTTTTGTTAACTTCCTGGCAAATCCTTACTAACACCAAAACGACGAAAAACACCGACAGAACATTAGTAGACACTTCCTTATGCACAACATTCCACAACAACCAGAACGTGTAAACGAACATTTTTTTTACGAATGGAAGGAAAACGAGAACGAAAAAAAAAAAGAGTTCGTGAAAAAGGGAGACGACCCAAACCCAACAGCACTCACTATCTCTCAAAGATACACGGCGATTTTCGCTTGTGTTGCATGAGTGTCAACGCTATGCGATATCAGTGTTAAAGCATTGCTTATATATGTGCACAAGGTGCTAGCCGTAAGTAACTAGTGGGGGTTAAGTGTACGTAGACCAAGGAGGAGCTTTGCCGTAAAATCCAATCGGAAATCGAGTCTGACCGCGCTGATTGGAGACGCTGATGCGTTTACTGTCGATCTTCAGGTTGCATCTCGTTCAGTGTAGCAGCTTTGCGCGTGACTTACGCCGATCAGACTTAAGTTAAGTCCTGTGCGGCGACGCATAATTGTTTGATCGACGTAAAGTAGCAAGCCAGTGAAAATGCGGAGGTCCGCCAAAGCGCTCGCTCCGTTCACGGAGCGCCGACTAACGATTTGTTAATTTTTGTGAGCTGTGAAATTCGCGAGCGGCAAAAGTAAAGTATACAAAGTTTAAAGATATCCTAAATGACCCTGAAATGTACAGATAGAGGCCACACTGTAAATCAGCCAAATTGCGGGGATTATTAGATATCACCTTTTCATGACCTTCTTTCCAATCGTTATTAATTAATTTTATTTTAAGTATGGGACAAATTTTCTAGTGTTTGTGTTATAAATATAACTAATAAGTACAAAAAAAAACCAAAGCATACAGTAAATTTTAACTAAATGTTCTTGGATACTTCGGAAGATGCTATAGCTTGGCGAAATAAATGTCAAATTCAATAAAATCTAGTCAAATAGTACCATTCTTATGTAGTTATGGATTTCAATCAATTATCGATAGACTTCAACTTATAAACATACTGAAAAGAAACTGATAAATGTCATACGATATATATATATAAAGCAAAATTTCCACAATTTAGCAAGATTGCTTTAGTACTAATACCTGCTTAGGGTCGAAGATAAATTAGCATAATGTGCTTTGGTACTTATGTCAAATAATTGTATAAACAGTACATGTAATTTTCTTCCAAAAGGACGCTCGTAGTTAACCTTGACCAGGCAGCTTTTTTTGCAAATTATTTTCTTATTTGTATGTGTGTGTACAATAAAATCACAGACCCGTACAAACACAAGTTCGTAAAACTTGTTGATGTCCATAAGTCGTCCAGATTGGACAATCACAAACCATTAGAATAACAAACTGGAATCTATGATGTTTTGTCGCTTACGTAAAGAATTATGAATTGTCTATTAACCTGTTTGAGACGTGAAGACGTATTATAAAAAATGCTAAAACTATTATTGGTAAACAGGAACTAGCATGAACTACCTATTCTATAGCTACTATTTTACTAACAGTGAGTTCTCTTATCAAAGCTTTTTAAGCATCAGTCTATGGAAGGAATTCATCATCATCATAAGGTCGTCAGTCTTAAGACTGGTTGGACACGTACCTCCACTCTTTCCTATCCTGAGCTAAACTTCGCACTTCCCTAAAACTACAACAGCCTACATCCATAATTATTTGCGAACAGTAATCTAACCTAGGTCTACCTCTACCCCTGATAACTTCTGATTCTGCCACTAATATGTCTCTGACTAGACCTTCATGCCTAAGAAGGTGTCCTACCAACCTATCTCGCCTATTTTTTATTGACTTCCATTTGACTCTGTTCTCCTATTCTAAAAGATAAAAACATTGCATCCAATACATACAGGTAATTTGGACTGATGTGAACATCATTATTTATCTGAAGCTTCATCTTTATTCCTGATTGTATAGCGAGGCAAACGGTAGAATGCGATAGGTCCTGCCTCTCGTCCAACAGAAGGTCCATGTAATTCTAAATTACCTATACATTTAAACATTTGGGGTTTATGAAAACAATTTGGGGGTAAATTCTGCTTTGCTCATACTTCCTTTGCAGGGTTTATATCTAAGTAATAAAAAAAAAATAGGAAATCCTAAGGATAATTTCTAAATATGCAATTAATATGTACCTATAAATAAGTACCTAATACGTAGTTCTATCTATTATCTTATCTTCTCTTCTTTCCAATAGATTAAGAAAAAAATTTATTCATTTATGGCAAATCAATTAACCTTGTTCAACAGGTACCTACATTTATCTATTTACAAAGAACAGCTTGCCAAATACAAAACAATTAATACACAATGTACAATATTTTTTGTACTAAAAAAACACTCACAAAATGATCTCTCCTCTGTCTTCTCTACAAGATCATATAATAATATTTGCCTCTCTTCTTATTGTGTGTTGCTTTCTCTGTCTACTTCTCATTAATAATAGGAAACAAATGTACCTACAATATTTTTACAACACGTCGACTGTTTCACGGCTCTGGTATGCGAAGTACGTACAGCAAATCGTCGGCCTTCAACAATTACTCGAGCTTTTTGCCGTCTTGATAAGAACTCTTGCTTATTTGTGGTAAAATTGTCTTGCCAGAAGGCATCTCAACCAAATGTTTTCTGATGCTTCCGATTCAGTTTAAATTCACGTTTTATACTTGACGGTTGTGTCCATAAAAGATGCAAATAATCGCGTTAGTTAATAGTTATGATCATTTATTAATCTTTGCTGTTCATAAACGAACGATTAGTGGATGCTTTAATAAATAATATCGACGCAGTTTAGTTCATGGTGAGTTAATTTCAAGTATTATAAAGATTTAAACCTGCCACTACGTTAATTACATTTATATTGGCTGCATTGCACCATTTGATAGGTACAGTGGCATTTGGACTGTAAATAAAAAGCTACGAAAATGTAAATATTACAGTGGTATTTAAAGTATTGTATTTTTGTAACTATTTATAGCGTTTTGAAACAGCACGCTGTACGCATTAGGAATTCAATTTTTAATGTTGTACCTATTATGTTATCTAACATTTGATGACAGATATCTAGTCATTATAATTTCCTAATAAATCATGATTCCACGCCGCTATTTACACGGAAATTAACACTCAAGTAGTTGTTACATCGTGTATTGTTTGTCAAATACGAAATAGTTACACAGGTAGACACTTGTAGCATTCATTGTGTTTGTGTAGTTTAGTTGGTTATTATTAATTGATTGCATTGGGAATGTACATTACATAAATTACATTAAAACACTCGTCGTTCAGTAGACATCGTTTATAACGACATCTGGTACAGTGACATATTGGTTATTGCAATGAACTGTTTTATAAACTATATTACAGCAGTCACAATCCAGCAAGACATCGTTTATAACGACAAAATGGTTATTGCGACTACTTGTTTCATAAACATTCACAATCCAAAAAACATCGTTTATAACGACATCTGATGCAATGACATAGCGGTTATTACGACTACTTGTATCTTAAACTATCGACTACTTGTATCTTAAACTATATTACAACACTCGCAGTTCAGCAGACATAGCGTATAACGATATAATGGTTATTACGACGACTTGTTCCATAAACTATATTACAGCACTCACAATCCAGCAAGACATCGTTTATAACGACGTCTGATACAACGACATGGCGATTACAGAAATAACCACTAATCTTTATTATACAGCAACAATAATTTTACAGTAGATACTGTAATTTTCGGTCCAATTTGAAAGAATACTTATATTACGTATTATGAAGTTACTTTCGAAATATTTTCAGTGTCTATTTCTGATATATCTACCTGTTAAGGTTAATAATCTTGCCAGTGTAATAAGTATCGGAAATAATCACTTTTTAACTGTCTCACGCTGATAATGCCTGCCCTGATTCATTAGAATCTACCCGATTATTCCAAGAAAAAGAATTTCACTTATATTAGGTATTAGACACCTAATATAAATAGCAATCAACGTTCTCATAATATAACGACGTAAAAGTAATGGATTTAAAAATGTTTTTGTAATTTATTTGATGCGAACAGAAGTCTAGCTTTGCCTTCGCCTTATTTACCATTATAATAAAGGCATCTTATTTAAAACGAATAAATATTTTACGCCGCATTAGATAGTTCGTAGTTGTGTAGCTCGAAAATGTCACTGACTATGTAGGTTGATGATAGACAATATAATTTGCGATACAATTCCAAAGCCTGTGTCTTTGGTCTTTATTCGAAAGTAAGGTAACACCTTTTTGATTATTATTTACATACTTATGTAGTTGTGGATTAAGTAAGAAACTTACTAATATATCTGATATACTTCTCTATCCATTTTTATGTACAATCCCAATGGGATTATCCGATAGTCCTGTGAAAAATGTCATAGAACCAAAATTTATTTATACCTACTACAGCTTATTTAGTTTGCCCTATTTAGCTTAATCTAGACCTAAAGGTGATCTATTCTATCTGAACCCTTTTACAACGTGCCCCATGAAGACTGTTGTGTCCCTGACGTCAACACCCTACTTGACCCTTTTTACGACTTGTCCCATTAAAACTGATGTGTTCTTTTCGTCGATACTTTACCTGAACCCTCCCACGGCTTTCCCCATTAAGACTGATATGTCCCTGACGTCGGAACCCTAATACTTGGACCTTTTATGGCTTGTCCCATTAAGACTGACGTGTTCTCGACATCGATACCCTACCTCAACCCTTTCGCGGCTTGTCTCATTAAGACTGATTGTGTCTTTGACATCGATACCCTACCTCAACCTTTTTACGACTTGTCTCATTAAGACTAATGTTGATACTTTTCCTCAACCCTCTTTCAGCTTTCCCGATTAGGACTGATATGTTCCTGATGTCGATACCTTACCTGAACTTTTTTACGGTTTTTCCCACTAAGACTGTTGCGCCCCTGATGTCGATACCTTACCTAAACTCTTTCATGACTTGTCCCATTAACACTGATGTGGTCCCAGTGAAGATGTCCGATTTCAACCCTTTAAGTATGCTCGATTTAGTCTCATCTGACCCCCTATTTGAACCATACACAGTAGGTCCTATCTGTTACTTGTATTGTCGAACACGTGTGTCCCCTTTATAGGGAGTTTTTCGTAACAGAAAGTGTTTTTCATGTTCTTGAAATTTTTAATCTTTTTCTAGAAGCGTATATTACGAATTTGTTGATAGTATAATGCTGCTATTACGTAAGTGATTATGTTTAATATAATATTTTCATTCTTTTGACTTACAACATTGGTATCATCAGAAAAAAGTGATGACGAATTTGTTCACGTTTTCCAAAACATATATTCCCGTTTACCTACTTCTTTCAAAAGTAGGTGAGACATTACTGCACAATGCGTTCGTTTTTTGACCTAGTTTTCCGATTGTCATTGTTATGTAACCAAAATGTGTCACTATTACAAGAAATATGTTTTACAAATCGTGTTTACATCGAAATAAGCAAAACATTTTCAGTAGTTTTCCTCCTATAACAGTAAAACGACTATCTCAAACTGTT